AGTTACTCAGGAGATGGAATGGGACCGGTATTGCCATTGATCAGCTATTTCATTGCATTCCTAAGCCGGAACCAAAAGGGTATAATGGATGTCGTGTACAGAGTCAAGGGAAAACTGCACTCCTAAGTCACCAGGTGGCCGAAAACATGAGACTCCCAATCTTGGCAGTGGGACAGCCAGAGATAAAAGACCTGATCAAAGACTACGAGGATGTCTTTACTGGTATCGGAAAACTAAAAGGTGTGACTGTGAAGCTATGTGTAGTACCCAATGCTACATGCCAGGTGCCGATCACGAACAAAGAAGAATATCTATGCCCCTTGAAAGAGAAGTTTGATCAAATCTTAGATAGCTGGCACAGTCTTGACATTATAGAGGATGTAGGAGATGAGCTGACAGATTGGTGCAGTAATGTGGTCCTCACTCCAAAGGACAGTGGCAAGTCTCGCCATAACAGACGTTAACAAGTAGATAAAGAGGACGAGGCACACCATACCCACCCTCCAGGAACTGGAATCCAGCCTGGATGGAGCCAAGTACTTTTCGCACCTGTACACGAACAACAGTTACATGCAGCTAAACTTTAGAGAGCAGAAAGCTGACCACATTCTACACACATTGCAGACTCAAGCATTTCAAGACGCTACGCTTTAGAGTGAACAATGCAGTGGAAGTCCGCAAAATTGTATCCCTGGAACCTAATGCCATTACATCTATGATGACGTCCTGATATTTGGTGCCACACAGGAAGAACATGTATCCTACAACTATGGCGGAGTAACAGACTAACCTTGAACATGAAAAAGAGTTGGTTCAACCCATGTCTGGTGGCATTCTTTAGCAAAGTGTTTTCTGGAGAAGGAATCCAGCTGGAACCTAACATGGCAACATTACAAGCAGCAGGTCCGCTTCAATCATAAAAAGAAGTGCCCGAGCTAATGCTGATTTCATAGAGAGCTTTGTGCAGGTAACTGCGCCTATAAGAGACCTCATTATAAAGGGGACACCAAAGAGCCAGAGAGCGTTCACCCAAACCAGAACAAAGCTCTCAGGAGACACAGTAATGGGGTACTTCAATCCACATCAAAAGATTAAACTCATGACGGAGGACCCCAGGGTTTAGCAGTCACACTAAAAAAGTATGACCTCCAAGCCAGAGAGTGGAGACCCGACCTATCGATCAAGGGTGTTGACGGATACCAAGACAAGATACTCAGAGCTCGAGAAAGAAGCAAAGGCTGTGAAATGGGGTGTGCTTGCAAACAAGATTTACTTGCAGGCCTCAAAAACATGTTTAAGATAGACGCATCAAAAAACCGTCAGCATCCCTCTCTCTGCCAGCCAAAAGGCCAGTGCCCTGCTTAGAAGTGGACAAAATGAGAGTTCACCTGCAAGGATTTGGCTACAAACTCAATAACTGGCCAGAAAAGAAAACAAATAGAGGCTAATGAAGCAGATTACAACTCCAGACACCAGAGCCACTCATGAAGACTCAAGAGAAGATAGCAAGACAGTGTGGACTGTCACTGAAGATGAGGAACTGTTCAAGAAGGACACCATGGCGGTTGCACAAGTGGTACTGCCAGATGCAGTAGGCCCCAGTTCAACCCAGTCTTTACAGAGCTAGCAGCAGTGGGAGGATTGGTTGTGCGGGGGTCTTGCATAGCCCCGCCCACATAACTTCAAGACAAAGTGGTCCAACTAGCTCATGAGGGAAATCATAAGGTTACAAAGACAAAGGAGTATCTCAGAACTATGGTCTGGTTTCCATGTTTGGACTAGATGGTGGAAGCCTATACTCAGCAATGCCACCCATTCCCGGTAGTGACCCCAGCGTAAGAGCTTGAACCGTTGCGAATGTCACCATTACTGAGTGAACCCTGGAAGGAGATGGCCATAAACTTCTGGGAGCCTATTTACATGGGCAAATACTTCCTAGTCATCATAATTATGCAAACACTCACGGAGGGCTGATGTAGAATTTGTAATCAGCACCAGTACACGAGTAGTAATACCAAAGCTTGACCGTGTATTCTCAACACTTGGAATACCCATGGTCGTTGGCAGTGACAACAGGCCTCCATTTAAAGGACAAGACTTCCTCAAACCTCCGAAAGTACCTGGGCTTCAAGCAAGAGTGTAAGACACCCAAAAACCCCTAAGCCAATAAGGCAGCAGAACAATTTATACTGATGCTCAAGAAACGTTACAGCATATGCCAAATAACAGGGCAGGTTTTCAACTAAGACCTACACTGATTTCTTTGCTGTTATAGAGCAACGCCACAGGGAACCACCAAGCTGACGCCAGCTGAGTTAATATCAGGTTTCATGCATAAAAATTGCAACCAATTATTTCTAAGGACTTCTCGAGGACCACATTCGACGTTCAAAAACCACCCACATGTATCAGGAATGTAATTCCATGGATTGTACAAAAATGCCCATTCCCAGTCCATTCTAATAGGACTTTGAAGGATTGAACTGTTTGCTCCACCACCCTCTCTACATTTTTCAGTTCACTTGACTTCAATTGCTAGTTAATTCTTGCATAAAACAAAAAATGCTTTACCTTCTCTGAGCTACGGTATGTTTTATAATCTGTTTTGGACAACCAAGAAGCATTAAAAACACTTTCCAGGCCACTACAAGCCGCGGCAGTGTTAGCTCAGTCGGTAGAGCGTGTTGACTGCAGAGCGGGAGGTCGCGGGTTCGATTCCTGGGGCCGGACCAATACTTCAGGGTCTTAAAATAACCGAGAAATGAAGGTACTCCCTTTGCACTGCAACAGGCTATACCTTTGCGTTGCTCGGATGACCACGTAAAATGGCGGTCCCGTCTCCAGTTGAAGACGTAAAATATAGTGTCCCCAATTAGCACTTTCGTGCTAAATACATTGACACTCAAACAAAAAGTGCAAGTGCAAGTGTATTCAAAGTTGAAGAAAATTCAAGAACGTTTCAAGGACTTGCCCAGAAATTTAAGGACTTTTCAAGGACTCCCCCTAAAATTAAAGTACTTTTCAACACTGTCAAACCTTGTAATGTTCGCTAGCTGCATGTTCCATGCAAGGTTGCCAGCTGGAAGCATTCCAAGACAACTGGATTTTCAGGAACTGTTTCTGCATGACTTGCGGTGTGTAGAGAAAAAGATGCAAATGAAGGCGCAGGCTGATGGAAAGAAGGGCATGAAAACATTGGAAATCCAGGTTGGGGATGCAATACTTGTGAAAAAAGAATCCAGGACCAAAGCCACTCCGCCTTTTGAGAGAGAGCTGTTAGAGGTTCAGCATCAAAAGGGAACACAAGTGGTCACCAAAACGAGAGATGGCTGCACCATTACACAGTCAATGGCAGATTTTATGATGGTACCCTAAAGAGACTTCGGAGGAGGCAGGAAGATGGAAGTCAAGGCCATGTGCCAGTAAAGAAGAACTGCCTAAGCCCAGTGGAGACCCCACCGAGCTACCAAGGATGAAGGAACAACCTCAGGAAGTGCAGGTACTGGAGTTTGACACTCGAATACTCATGGAATTAGGAACCCGTCCGCAGAGTGCCCAGCAGAGTTACCTCAGTCACCCCCTGCCTCAGGAAGCCACAGGACATAACAGGGGAATATCTCAGGAGCAAATATCCAGAGCATGAGTTACCAGACAATTTCCAGTGACAAAGTAGTTGTTATTCTCAAGGAACCTTAGATGTCTTATACAGTAGTTACGCACTTTGATCTCTCTATGTATTATAGGCTTTTAGTCAGCCAGTTATCACCTAGGCATCACTTTAAAGCATGGTGGGAATGTAGTATCGTAGAAAGTTCATCCGGTACGCTATCGGGCATGCTCTGAACACTGGGACGATCAAAGGTTAGGTTACCTATGTTACGACAGCATGGTGGACATGTAATGTACAACTGAGTCGTAAGAATGAAAGATGGTAAATTTTAAGCTCAGTGAACAAATGTGAAGATGAAATAATCAGCATGTCACGAGCGTCCCCGACAGGATTCGAACCTATGACCTCCCAAACACCAGACAGGCACCATATCCTTTGAAGTTGCTGATCCATTAAAGTAACCTTGCCATATTAATTGAGAGGTATCTCAGTCCGTGTTCAGATCAATTACAGCTTCCTGAGAGGGGTGTTATTTCTATGTATGTTCTTCACATTATGAAAAGAACATACAAAATCAAATCCCAGTGAATCCTATGGTGTTTACACCATTCAAATGAAACTTTGCTGCCAGAACTTTTTTAAAACTATTTCTTTCTTACGATTTTAAAAAAAGAAACATTATTGCTTTTTGTTGTTGTTTTCTCTATTTTTCTTTTGTTGGTTATCTTTTCTTCGGTCACCAGTGTGAAAGGTTTTATAACGCAGGCAATTTGACTATTGATAGTATCCTGTCACGGGTGAAAAAGCAATACTACAGAGTGATTAAATTCTTTAAAGCCTCATACCAACTGCATTTTCTGTTCTCCTGAAATGTCTTCTGAATGCTGATTAAGGAAACTAAAATTTGTTGAAAATTCATTCATTTATACCTGTTCCCTCAAATACTGCAGGGCCCATCTGGAACATTTGGTCTTCACATGCTAAGGAAAAAAAAGAGCCACCCTTATATCAAGCATGTCAGAATGCTACAATAATTATTTAGAACCATTTTTAACAGGTGTACTACACAATGACATCTTACCAGTGATGATGTTGAAATATCTTGTACTGGGATTGTGCTATGACAACAACTTCTATACTGTTCAGTGATCTATGAGAGGATTATTCAAGTACAAGTCAGATCAGTTGGAGTATATTTACATCAATAAATTCATCATTATTATTCACTTGTTTAAAAACTCCCATTATGAACCAGAAACAAAATCAATGACAAGACATGGACTTTTTTGCAATAGATGTCATAGGTCAGAGTGAAATTTAGGTTAAAATGGTTGACACCTAGTTGATTCGCTATTTCCCTAGCCCTACCGCGTACTGATAAAAATTATATGATCGTGAATAAATGAGTTAGGGAACAGGAAATTGAGAATCAAACTCAGTTAAAACCATTTTAACCTGAGTTTTACAAAATAATGCATTTTGATCTACAGGTATAACCACAGACAGAGATACACTTAAAATGCTTTTTGATCAGAAAGCATCCTGTTTCATTGTATTTATTAATACCTTTGTTATTAAAACATCTTTTTCTTGCATTGCTTCAATACAATCTGCAAACTCTTCCTGGTAATATTAAAAAATAGAAATGAAAAATGGTTTAAACAATAAATGATGCAGAATAAACTCAGTATTAATAATTCACCAATTGGGATGTCTCCAGTTACCTGGCACCCTCCCTTCTCAGTAAGCTGATGCCACAACCAAGCTCCTGCCTGCCACCCCCAGCCTCACTACCCCTTCCCCCATTGCTGGAGGACTTGAAAACAAAATCAAATTCTGGCTTATCCTTCTGACTTTTCCTGTGAATACAGCCATCTGTCCTTGCCTCAAGGGAAGTTTTGAAACGTCCCTATTAGCATGAAGCAAGGAGAGAGGGATTCACAGCAAGGGAGGTATTCAAAGGCTAGTGAGTAGCTCTCAAACTTTGTTAACCAGGCCCCAGTTGTTCAAAAGGTGGATAACACTATCCACTTGATAAATCTCTATCCAGTGGATAACACAACTGGTTTCCCTAATACTTAGCCACTGGATAGTGATTTATCCGGTGGATAGCGCTATCAGACATTTGAACAACTGGCGCCTAGAGCCATAGTATGCTTACATGTACAGTGTAGGTCATTTCTCATTGGGAAAGTGAGCAAGAAAAGTTATTTGCCTAGTAAGAAAATCTACTTGTCCTGCATGAATGGACGTGCATTTTAATGCCCTGCATACATGTAGCACGGGAAAACTAAATCTCCAAACTGAGAGGAATAATCAATTTTTGAAAATGTTTCCGAATAACAATGAAGTGATAGTAGTTTCAAAAATGTAGGATTTCGTCGTAAAATTAATGCAGTGCTGTGGTGAAATACATGTTTTACAATACAGTGTATTACCCTGTATGGATGTCTGGGATCCTGCCAATAACTCAACAAAAACTTCAAACACTGTAGAATGTGAAGTCTTTCTTCAAAATGATATTCCATAATCTAAAAAGAAAAATCATGATAAGTTTAAATGCAGAAACTCCACTGGCACATGTATAAAATGCTACAAAATAATGCACACTGCATGACTAGTTGGTAGGTAACATTCCTGTACAATGGATGGAATTGTCCTAATGAAAAAATAATATTACAGTGGTGTAATTATTGTGGTAACTAGAAAATAAAGCTTTCACATGGCAGAATTAAAGATTGTATGTACCAGTATGTATAATGTGTAAGTAAAAGCTGTTCCCAGGTTTAACTGGCAATTCTCAACGTCAATAGCTGTTTGATTCAGAATTTCCTCTCCCATAAATTCTTCATAGGAGATCAACGAAATACCACAGAACAGATTTTACTGTGAGACAACAAGTGCACATTCATGATTTATGAAATTAACGTAGGCACAAATAGTTTTCTGTGATAATGTGCATGAAAATCACCTTCAGCAAAAGAAAATCAGTTTGGGCTTCACTCTTCAACATAAGCTAGGAATAGAAAAAAAATCAACAAAGTCAGTAAATAAAAAATTATTTTATTATTATCATTATCACCCCAATGTACAATGCAAGGCTGTGCTCTCAGAAAAATTGATGGGAGCCCAGTGCGCTGAACTTGTGAAATCTAGTGTGCCCAGCATATATGATTCCTATGAAAAAGCTAAGATTTCTAGTTGCCCGAGAACAAAAATTAGGCACCACGGGCCACCGGGCTCTGCTAGAGCAAAGGCATGCATGTTTGATATGCACCAATCATGGAATTCCAAAAGTTCAACATCAATCCTGGGGGGGGGCACACCCCAGCAGTTGACCATTACCTGTGCTCAATGAGTGGGGAATTTGACCTTTCCTTGGGTAGGGTGGGGAATTTGAACCGCAAGTTTCATGTTGAACTTCTTAACACAATCCAGTGCAGTGTTCTCACCAGGATTTTGCCTTGGGGAGTCCCAGGGCCCCCTCTTCTGAGAAATAGGGGCCCTGTAAGAACATTAGGGGGACAAAGTTACAAAAAACACGCGGTACGAAGAACCTGAGCCCGCACTCCAAATTGTCTGTTACATGAAGTACCTACCTGATCCAATATGGCGGAAGAGGTGTTTACGATTCGGAGGAGGAGTTTACGATGTAGTGGGACGTGCGTGGGAGCAATGAAAGTAAAGGCAACAAAATGAAAGACTTTGACTCATTTGATATCATGTCTTTTATTTATTCAAACAATTGCCCCTGCGCCCCTGCGCCCTAACGGGCGCATCTTCTTCGTTTTAATGCGCCATTTCAGTTTTTCTTGCGGGAATCCCGCAAGGCCGCGGCCTGGTGAGAGCACTGCCAGTGTGTGACAACATAGTTTGATAGATGCACTCTTTCTCATATAAAGATGGAAAAAATTTCGGTATTATTTTGTGGGCTATGACCATCAGAATAACTATATAAATGCCAATGGAACATAATTAAATTGTTTTTCTCTCATCCACTACATTTCATTTCGTTTCACCACCTTTACACTAAACGGTGGATCTCAAGCAAGCTGAAGTACACAGCACTTACACTAAACTCCAGGTTGACCAACAACACCAAAACAAACAACCAGGTGCTAAATTTCATTAGCTTCACTCACCAAAAGCTGTTGTTTAGAACCTCTGAATTCATTCTCAAGATAACTACCAAACAACTCCAAACTTTGCCATTCATCCAGATTCTGTGAATTCCAAAATGAAACTCAAATCATAAAACTTCTTATAAATTTTCACTTTGTTGAGAGAATAAAATAATGATACTTCATGAAGTTTCAAGTCATAGACATAATTAAATACAGCAGGTGACAAATTACTCCTTCATTTTGGTGTAAAATTTTTGCATTTATTTATAACTTCACATGTGAAATTACAAAGTTCTGTATGTCTCAATGCCATGATGGTGCCAAAGTTTTAAAATGCTGTGAATGCATGAAGATGTCAGGGCTTTAAAACACCCTCAAGAAAACCTTAACACACAACAGAGCACATAAAAAAGGATTCTACATTGTATCAGGTACAGTGTACAGTCGAACCTGTATTAAGCAGCACTGTATTAAGCGGTCACCCCCTATTAAGCAGTCAGTTTAACAGTCCCGAAAATTACTCCCCTTGATGTACTGTAATTTTGACCTCTACTAAGCGGTCACCTCTATTAGGCAGTCACAGTCACCATTAATTTTGCGAAGTCCCGAGGGGACCTTTTCTATTGTCTTGACCTGTATTAAATAGTCATATGGTGTCAATTACTTGTTCATACAGTTTCAAATACTGTAACACACAAGCTGCAAGGTGATTTCCTTGTTTATTTTCGCAAATCATTAAAACGCTGGAAATGAATGTTTCTATTTGAGGTCAAACATCTGATCTGATCAGCACTGGAGATCACATAATTCTTTGAAGTGTATTTCTTGCAACCTATATTAGGCAGTCACCCTGTATTAAGTGGTCACTTAGCCATTCCCCAAGGGTGACCACTTAATACAGGTTCGACTGTATTTGGTCAAGTCATTCGGAAAGTTAGGAGCTCAATTCAAAATTTAAGCTCTAAAACTTTCAGTGCTTGGAGTTCTCAATCAATATGATATAAACCCAAAGATTCTAAAAACAAAAAAGTTTCAGCATAATAATATTTGTCACCCATGATATTAATAGGTAATCAAATGGTATACTCGTGAAAATGTACCTTTAGACTCAGGAAATTATTAGGATTTGGACAAAACATGCGTGAAAGTATTCCCTACTTCCACTCGACAGCATTTGATTACACATACTAATAACATTCACACTCAGAGCTGCCCTTATACTGTAATGGTCATAACCAGTGCTTGTATGTAACACTTTCCTTTCCTTTCTCTATATTCTTCTTTTTACTGGGCCACCAAGATTAGCAATTGCTATTTTGCAGGCCAGTCTATTGTAATCAATATTTTTATCAAATAAAGTTGAAGAAGTTTGAAGAAGTTTGAAGCTGAACTTGGTCATTAAAATTTCAAATACAGGAAAAGAATGTGGGCAGCCAAAGAGGAAGCGCTTCTTTTGAATCAAATGCTTTCCTGCTCAAAACGAATGCCAGGCCTGCTTTTGAAAGAGTTACATGTAATAGAAAATTTCAACTTACCAAATATTTGCTGATTTTGGAGACAAACTCTTTCCTTTTTGGTTTTATGTTTGTAGATTTCTGAAGGGTTGCAGCTGATTGTGCACTGGCAATAAAAATGGAGGTTAACAGTTACACATCATTAAATTGCCTCAAAACCCATCAGTCATCTTTGTGAGATCCTGAGAACTACATGAATCAAATAAACAATCCATAATTGTTTTGTCTTCCAGCTGATGAAAAATGAGATCATAGCAAACTGCAAAAAAAAAACATTGAATTTTTTATTTCCTGTCTTGAAACCATGGTCTCAATTAAGCTGTCCCTGCTCTGTCGTCTTGCACATCAGGGATTATTATATTAATAAGTTCATTGCCACTTGCTGTTCCTGCAAAGGGTGTTAACTTAACAATGTGTAAGAAGATTCTGAATCATTATTTTATGAGATCATTCTAATGGTGAGTAATTATGATACACATATACATAGGAATAGTATTAACTTACATGGATAAGAATAGTTATCAACTTACTTTGGCTCTTTGTAATATCCAACACCTTCTAGAAGGTTATCTTTTTTCTGCTTTAATTCTTTTGCAATCTGATCCTGAGAGAAAAACAACCAGATGGTCTTCTGAGGTTGAGCACTCAATCCCTCAATCTAACTTTCATGTGAAGTGACGCCTTCAGTGATTTTGGGGAGAGATTGCCAAATACCAGGCCCACTAAAATTTAATGTCTTACTTGAAAAACTGTTCCCACAGTCCTGCAGTCAGGTAGCTGAATAAGTTAGTAAAAATAACGATTGCTACTGCAGTCCCACACTCAGGCACTCACTGAAAAGTGAATATTATTATACCACGGTATACAAATTATTAGTGCTCCAGCAGTCCCATACTCCTGAAGTCAATGTCAGAATTTATTATGCAAATTCGAAGGACTGCAGGACTGTGGGAGCAGTTTTTTAGTAGGCCTAGTATACTGCAATCGCTTCTCAAAATCATCAGAGTGCTTTTAAAGCGATTTCAACTACGAAACCTAAACAAGTCTGGCAAGTCATACATGGAATTCTACATCCCAGCCTACAACTGCTTACTGTTGACCCTGACGAGTTGAATTTCTACACTTTGCGTCTACCACAGAGCAAGTCACTGGCGCTACTGCAAAACCAGTTGAAGCTCTTCTCAAGTTGACTGACTCTTTTCCTGAAGACAGCAACAATTCTTTCCAACTGTAACCAATCACCTGTTCAGAGGTTTTCCAGGAGATAAAGAAGTTGAAATCTGATTGTTCTTGTGAGTCCCGGTTATCCCGGTTAAATTTCAAAATTTTTAAAAGTTCTACGAGTACCTTCTACTTCATCAGAAAGCTGACTTTCTAGCACATTCTTCGGGGGTGTTCTTAAAGACACCCTAAGTGCTTATTGGAAAGGACACAAAACAATCTTACATATAACTCAGGTACTGTCCATTTACATGCCTAGAATTTTCCACTTAGTCTAAGAAACTTAATGGTTTTCAAATCTGGTTTCTAAACATCTCTTAGCAATGAAATTTCACAAATTAATCAACTGTCATTGTACAACAGTAGATATTAATTTTTCAAATCTGGTTTCTAAACGACTTTGAACAAAATTAAGCAATTAAATTTCACACAACAATAAATTAAAGTTAACTGTTAATGCTTTTGTTCCATGGGTAGGTCTTAGTAGGTACTGTGGCTTGGGTAGCCCTCCAGCTCACAGTCCTCACAAGTCTAGTCTAGACAGAGCTGTCCAACGCATCGAGGACTGGCAGATCTGTGCACTTCACATGAAACCACTGACTGCAGTAGTAGCACTCTATTCATGAATAGTTCTCTTCTCTGTTGTACTCCTTGCTGCACTTCTTGCAAAAATAATTTTCCTCTTCCTCTTCTTTCTCCTCTTTTCTTCTCTTCATACTTTTTGGTTTCTTCTTGTTTGTTTGTTTGTTTCCTCTGCTCTTTTCTCTTCTCTGCCAACAACCATTCTTTCTCTTTCCTTTTTTCTTCCTTTTCTCTCTTCTCATTTTCTTTTTTTTTTTTTCATTTTTGGATCTTAACACCTCCAGAAAGACGCACACTGTGATACACTTGTTTTCCCGATCTAGCCTGTTGCCTGCTCTCTTTCTTCCGGTAAGATTCCTCCTTGGCAACAACATTATTCTGCATAGCTCTTCGTCCATTTAGATGGCTCCAGATAGCATAGATATCATGTATGGTTTTGCCATGTTGGAAGGAGTAGAGATTTCCGTGACCACTGCACACTCTCTTGGGGATGAATTAAGTGCTAATGTGGAATCATGTTTTTGTTGTAGTGTACTTGGTGGAGTTGGAAAAAAACTACAAACTTGTCACAGCATTTTCACGTCCAGGGCAAACAACCACTATAATTCAGTCACAAAAACAGATTCCTGCAAAAGAACAAGAGCATGCACGCTGACTTAATACATGGGCAGCACCCACTGCTTTTATCACCGCCAATCTCCACAAACATGTCACATGCGTAATATACATGAATGCCAGAATTCTCTTTCGGTCTTGCCAATTTCCTTCTCTAGGCAGACAAGGGCTTCGAACATGTCGGGGACTTCAGAAGGACTTGTACGGGTGTCAAAAAGCTGGCCGTCTGGTGACTGAGGAATGTGAGCCACAAATCCCCCTGTAGAAGGTTCTGTACACAAATGTAGTACCAATGCAGGAGGCTCAGGTACAGCTGTCACAGTTGGAACGGACACTGGTTGTTGTAGCTTCAGTGGATGGTGGCGAGACTGTAGCATCACAAGCAGATGTGTGGGTACCTTGACGGATTGCTAGCTTGCTGTAGTCAAACATAGAGTAGGGGTTATAGGGAAAGATACCGGCTCGTTTAAATCCACCTCTAATCACTTTTGGGGTAGTACTAGAGTGCCACATGACATTAAACGCCTTTGCAAAACTGCATTGGTTAACCACCGTTGACATAATGTGGCTAAAGGCTGTACATGCTTTCTCCCAGCCCCTTTTTTGTGGACAACAGAGACAGATCAAGTGGCAGAAAGAGGTGCGATGAACGAGCAGGAGGACAGAAAATGAGAACTCTATCTCACGGCACTGCTTCTATTGCATCTTGTGTGACATGAGCCTTATGTCCATCCACTAAAAGAAGGACGGGTCGTTCCTCAGGTATTTGCTTAAGGAACACTTCATTAACCCACCGTAAGTAGAGGTCTTTGTCAATCCAATCTGACTTTTGCACACTAAATAACATGCCAGTCGGTGCTCCTTCTTGTACCCCATTGGGTACGCACCCACTTGCATGCATGTACACTCGTATAAATGAACATAGGGGGCCTTTCGTCATTCTGGATTGCATTTTCAATAGTTTCTCCACCACACCTCACATGATCTCAGAGAGGCAACCTTTGTCTTCTTTTCCATGCTTAATGGCTACCTGTGAGGCCATTCATATAGAATGATCTCTTTTCTTTTGCCATATCCTTGTTTACTGACATCAATAAGATAGGCTGCCAGCTTCTTCTCATCATCTGATAAAAATGATCTGATCTGGGTCACAGTTACTTCCATGGTCTGTTCGTCCGCTGATATGGTGCCCAAGTGTCGATTTTGGAACATTAAAATCTGCTGATGCCTCTCGTATAGAGTCACCACATTTTACTGCGTCCATAGCAGCAAGCGTGTTTTGTCCTCTCCACGTTTTTTCTTTTTGATGAGCGCGGCATTTTAAAATCCTAGTGATCAGATTTAAACCATTATTTTTGTTAAATTAGAGTAATTTTTTTTTTCATTTGTTTGTTTGCTTTAGTTGCTGCTTCAGTTGTAACCCCCTTCAAATTATTGTAACCCCCTGTATAGGCACGCCCTACTAATTTCTAATCGTAAAAAAAAAACAATATCATTTATAGAAAAAATTTAGTTGTTTGTACTGTGGCATTCATTCTCTTTTGTTAGTGAAATGAAATCCGCAAGGTGAGCTAAATACATACAGGGTGTGGCAGTAGAAATAACCCTCAGGGAATAACCCCTATCGATCTATATTCCTTCTGTTTTGTGAAATCTTAAATTCAGAAAAAAAAGCCAAACTTTGTGCTCAAATAAATACTACTTACAGAAAATCCTCAATGAAATTTCATGCCAAAAAAATATGTGAGCAAATCCTATTCTGGTACCTCAGCTGGCTGTCTGATAATCGATCACGGGCTTGCCCAACAAAAATTGTTGGATTACAAAATTGATTGGCTAATTTGACAATGAACTTTTGACATGTGTTTGACATATAAGTTCTATTCTGTTCTGGTTTTTATCTTGCTAAGAGAATTAAAGAGAACTGTCACACAGCAAATCTTTTAATGTCATTTAATGTCCTAAAAGTAGCAAATGGACTAAATCTTTGGGCCCAGACTGTTAACCCATGCCGCAAGTTACCTGATTGTTATTTTGCCAAAGTGTATGGCAGAGATGTCAGTGTCACAGATCACAAAGATCGAAAAATTGAACAGGGGAAATTACCATTCATTGAAGTGCATCATGAAGGTCATTTTTATGGAGCAGGGTTTGTGGGATTTCACTCAAGAAGGCCAAGAAACTCCTCCAGCAGCCGATGCATCTCCAGCTGTAAAGAATGATTTTCGCCTTCGATCTGACTAAAGCTTATTTGCTCATTGCATTGAACATTGAAAAGGATTTTCAAATTCACACATTTGAATTTGTGTCAATCACGCATTGTTTGTCTCAATCATGCAGTACAGCAGTAAAAACTGTTTACCTTCACAATCGAAGTCCCACAGCGGCACTGAAAGATCATTATTTTGTTTGGTAGAAGGCCAGACAAAGTCATTTCTAATTTGAGAGTTTTTGGTTGTGTGAGTTATGTACAGTATACATGTTCCAGATAGTCAGTGCAGAAAGCTTGATGCTAAAACCCACAAAGCAGTCTTTGTTGGATATCCTCCTGGTGTCAAGGGGTACAAGGTGTATGATTTAGATAAGGAGTTTGTTGTGAGTCAAGATGTTCAATTCTTTGAAAAAAAGTTTGATCGTTTTGACGAAAAGCCTAAATCAGATGATGCTGATTAAGCAGATCTGAGGTTAATTTTCCCAGATATGAACCAAGAAAATGAAAGTGCTTCAGACCTGTACCTCTCTAACCTGAAGCCCCTTAAGTTCAAGAGAGTGTTGAACCTGCAGTTCAAGAGAAAGTTAAACCTGCAAATCAAGAGAACGTTAAACCTCCAATTCAAGAGAATGTTGAATCCGCACCTGTGAATAGTGTTGAATGCCCATCACCACGGAATGTTGAAAGAGTGGGACCACTGCCGAGGGAGCACATGAAAGGAGATTAGAACCAGTTACATGTAGAAGAACAATCATATGAAGATTCATTTATGGAGGAAGACCCAAACTTAGGACCAGGAAGGCAGCAAAGTTTATGATCGCCTTCATTGTACTAGCTACAATCTTGGACAAAAAGTGTTACGAATTTTGCTCTTTCTTACACACAGGAGACCCACCCTGCGTATTTGGCACCATGGTGACCCCTCCCCCCACCTCTCCCTGGTCAATGTTGTTTAGTAGGCAGCAAAAATGTTCGAGCCACACTTCAACATTGTTTTTTTGGGGGAAGGGGGGAGTATCTTGAGTGAACCGCGCTTTAGAGGGAAGTATTCTAAAATTAAACATACAACGTGCATTTTTCTTAACATTTTTGTCCAAGATTGTAGTTGACTCAGAAATTGATGAGCCAAGCACAGTTATGAAGCATTGAAAGGTGAACAATCTGACCGGTGGAAAGAAGCCATGAAGTGCAAATACTCATCTTTAATAAAGAATGGTATGTCGGAACTAGTACCTACACCTGAAGGAAAGAACTTTGTTGGATCTCCCTGGGTCTTGAAAGTCAAGCATAATGAAGAAGGTTCTATGGATTGCTTTGAAGCCAGACTTGTTGCACAAGGATATTCCCAAGTGGAAGGTGTAGATTATAAAGAAGTGTTTTCACCAGTGGCTCATTATACATCTGTGAGATCATTGCTTGCCCTAGCTAATGCACACAATTTGGAGATACAGTCTGTACATCAAATAGATGTAAAACAGCTTTTTTTATATGATTCATTGGACTGTGAAAATTACATGTCGCAACCAGAAGGATTTGCTGATCCTGTCAGACCAAATCATGTTTGCAAACTGAAGAAGGGCATTTATGGACTTGTAAACAGTCAGCTCATTGTTGGAACACTACTCTGGATGAGTATTTGAAATCAGTTGGCAACTGCAAAAGCAATGCTGATGGAAGTATTTATGTGAAGTCTGGGAAGGAAGCTAATGCCTGCATCAGTTCCACAAAACTTGGTGTGTATGTCAATGGCATAATTTCAGTTTCAACAACACTGAAATGCTGAGAGCAGAGAAAGCTGTATTATGTGAAAGATCTGAGATGAATGATCAAGGAGAGATACATTATCTAACTGGTATGTCCATCAAGTGAGACAGAGAGTCAAGAACATTGACAGTAAGTCAACCCAACTACATAAAGGAAGAGAATTAGAAAGTGCTAAAGCTTGGAATAGAAAACTGCAAACTTGTCTCTACTTCACTTGTGCTTGATAGAAAGAGGCTTTCCGCAGTTTTCTTCAAGTCATGAGCCCTTTGATATTCAGACCTACCAACAGGCAATAGGATGTCTGACCTACATGCACACGTCAACAGCAACAAGACCAGATATCGCTGCAGCAGTTGGAGTTTTATCCCAGTATGTCAAACCCAAGTAAAAACCACTGGATGGGTGTGAAACAGTTCTACAACATCTTTAATAATAAAGGAACTTTGAATTATGGTCTGAAATACTCTGTTCATGGAGAGGAAACACACTTATATGGCTACAGTGATGCAGATTGGGCAGGAGATGTTGATACTCATAGATCAACATCAGGCTATGTATTTCAGTTTGCATCATTATGGCACAATCAGTTGGTCAAGCAGGAAACAACCCACGGTTGCCAAGTCCTCAACTAAAGCTGAATATAATGCTTTGAGTTCAGCTACACAAGAAGCTATATGGCTATGCCCTTTAATGAAAGATCTTGCAGGGTTCAAAATTAATTTTTTTGTATAACTAACCCTTATCCAAGAATCTGTTTTTGAACTTAAAATAATAATTATATTTATTAACGATTGAAAACATTACTGTGCTAATAAATAGGGCAAACTAAAGTATGGATGGATTGGTTCAAAACATTGTTTGTTTAGACTCATCAAACTGTAACCAGATGAAAGCCTTTTTTCATTCTTCATGAGAAATTCCTCCTTCGTGTTTTCTCTTTTCTTTGTACTGCTTCCAGGGAGCCTTCCATAGTGTTGTAAACTGTACTTGTTCTTTGTTATTTTTCTCAATCTTCCATTTCTTCTTCACAACTTTTGTGCAGCAACCTTTTTCTGCAAAAACTATCCAAGGATCTCTGCATCTGATCTGTATAATAAATAGGTTGCCGAAACGAGCAAGATGGCAGAGGTATACTAAGTTTGTGTCCAGATCTCCTCATCCAACAAGCCTGGTTACCTTGCCTCCAGAGAAATACAAGTTTTTTGTGTTGTTCGATTATGTGGTAAGAACAAAAAATTGTTCTAGATAGAAAATAACCTTATGCAAAAAAGGAACACATCGGTCTTTCGTGAAAATTAATGTTCACTTGTCAGAAGAATTTCTATGAATGAAAATACTTAATTGCACTGAAGTTTTAACTAATGATATTGGGTTACTTGAACAAATTTTTAGTAACCAAAGGTGGGAAACAACTAAACATCGGTTAATGGGTTACCATTAATTTAGAGCCCTGTCTTGGAAGACAAGTGGATACCCCGACCACCATCTATAAAGGCAACCAAGAAGCCACTGAGCTGGCAAAGAATGGTAACTACCATAGCCGAACTAGCTAAGTACATTGACATTTGTCACCATTTTGTTGAAGAAAGAGTTGTTTCTAATGAAATTAGAGTGATTTATTGTTGTACTGACGACATGATAGCAGACATAATTTTATGACAAAAGGACTACGAAAACCTGCATTTGAGAAACTAAGAGATTTATTAGGCGTGCGTTATATTATGTAATGATTGTAATCAAGCTCTAGGATTCTAGGCAAAGTATCATTAAATTTTTTACTGTCATAGTGAACAGCGTAATCATCAAGTGGAAGTTTTGGAATTACATATGATAATTTATGCTGTACAATGGACATATCTGATTGGCTAATTTGAACTTTTGACATGTGTTTGGTATTATAAGTTCTGTTCTGTTCTGGTGAAGTGTAACATAGCGAATCTTTTAAGGTCAAATAAATGTCCTTAAAGTAGCAAACGGACTGAATCATTCTAACAAGAACTGCTTCTGAGCAGTGGTAAACTGCTCAAAAAGTAGCGCCATTAGCCTCACGGGAAACAAAATGGACGACAGGTTGTCAGAGGAATCTCTGCAATTTTTTTGCTCTTTCTTGGGCCTTATTTTCTGTGAGCAGGGAATAAACGATCGGGAAAAGCAAGTGCCATTATCGCTGCAGGTGAGAGGAATAATTTAATTCCCTAAATGTTTCGATTCATGGCGCAAAACTCGGTTGTTGAATTGAGTAGACTTAATTCAAGTTGCTGTGTTGGCATTTCATCATCTGCATTTTTTATTTAGTTTTTGTGGGATTTTTAAGATACTTAAGTAAGCGTTCGATGATCAATCGTGTCCGATAATACATACATACGAATACCTTCCATTTGAATAAACGGTTTGACGCGTGGGAAAATTTTTGTATAGTCGCTGGTGGGTAGGGGATTTGGCGCTTTTTGAAGCGCTAGCCGGTGGGGCATTTGATCATCTAAACTGCCAACATACCGGGGAAAATTTTGACCAAAACATTTTAAGGGGGTGCATGACCATAGACGGTTTTGGAATTAACTGATATAATACGTTAATAAGATAAGGAACACATAGAACAGATACTCACTGGTTCTTGAAGAGAAGAGCGTCCAGTTATTATATGCCAAAGCCCACGGTTAGATCTACAAGAGGAGCAAGAAATTGAAGCTGTAGCGAGTTTGCGAGTACAACCTAGAACTACTTATTTTGAAATCGGATCCACACATAGATGCAAATAAATAAATAAACGTCACTTACATTTCAATCACATCCATCTTGGTGGCGTCCGGATCAAAGTTGGCAAATATTCACGGGCTGTATATGAAATGTAAGCATGACTTTTCTAACTTGAAACAATCATGTGCTCCCGCCATTTTGATTTTTCTGCTTAGGAACCACGCTTTTAATTCACTACAGCTCTGTGAGTGTAAGCTGCATAAAACGTCGCTACATTCGTCCTTTTAGAGTAAACTCATCGGCATTCTCTACCCCAGTGCTTGCAGGTTTGGGAATGCGCGCGTAAGCTGAGCTCTTGATCTTCATCTCTTTCTTCAACAAACGCAGAAGAGCTCTAGGTTTCCCTTGTTTTGCACTGCGCATCTCCCACTGCGCACAGCATTGCGATTTTCTGAGGTGGCGGTGATTTTCACCGGTCACCTAAAAGGCTTTGAGAGGTAACAAAGGCCGCTTTTGTAGTCCTAATGGTTTCAATTACAATAACTTTTTTACCGCTTAAAAACAGGTTGATCTTGAAACTCGCCCCAGTCCCTTAGCCCAGAATGATGAACTGGAATGACGTAAAAAACCGCCATTTAGATCTACAGAGAAGTATGATACAATACACTTTTTCCACGATCGGGTGATTTGAAGTCACTTTCCTGAAAACTTATAGCCCAGACACGCAAATTGGCTCTAGGTTTTTGTAGGATCCATAATTATTACTATACGAAGAGAATTCTTGTTGTTTCGAAGATTTCGCGCCGCGCATCTAGGAAAAAAAAAACACTTAGATTTACGGCGGGAATGCAGGGCGAAAACAAGCATCCTAACCCCATCTTTTTATTTCAGTTTTTCCAATCTCCTAAATATATAAGGCTGTCAATTTTGTCAAGTTTGAAAAAAATCTAGATATTACATCCTTTTCAAGGGATTTAACTAAACTGAGCTTTAAAGTGAAAGACTGATCGCGGAGGCTGTAATGACATACGAACCAAAAAGAAATCTAAATTATGTACATAGAAATAGTACAAGTACAATGTAAATATCTTAGAATTTTTTTAGTCAATATCTCATTAGTTCTTTCACAATTGTCGGAAGCACATGCGCCTGACCTCTGAACTTGAAAATGGCCCTCGGACGGTCGAAACGTCGACTCTCATTAACGTTAATTTTTATAGTGAAATCCATTCCGAAAAATTTGTTGATTCGAATTTAAACAAAACAAAATAAAACAAACTAACGCAATTGTGTATACACATTCTGTGGATACTCGATGGGGGTGTTTTTATTGCTGATTAGAACGCTCGTCGCGAGCTGCGAGCTGTTTACGTTAAGTCATGATGTCATAGACAACTTAGATTCTCAAACACCTGACGCGGCTGACACCATGTGGTAATAAGCCAAAAGATTTTTCTGGGTTTTCCCACTGTCATGAATCGGTATGAACTCTGCTTCAACCATTGTCGGTCAAGTTATCCATTGTGTTTACATTTGGCTCCCAAGAACGGCTAAAAACAAGACTAAAGAACAAAAGAAAGGCCATCAAGGGCAGAAAAAGCGCGTAAATTTTTCACAGCAAGTGAAAGAACAAAGCGAGGTTAACCCCCACATGCTGGAAGGCTATAAAAGCTCCAACCGGCTTCCGAGTACACCGGACCGCCCCAAGGTTTGTCTACACTTCCTGCCTAAAGATGACAAAGAAGATTCTCAACAAGATTTTGCAAGCTGTAATCTCGAGGTAGTTGGCTACAAATTTTTGTCGAACGAGAAAAAGATCAGCAAAAGATCTGCGCTTAAGAGGTGGTTGCGTTGGCGCACTAACGTCGTCCACAATGAGAATTTCCATTTGGATGAGCGGCCCCATGGAACAAGACATGAACTATGTTTTAGAGAGGTTTTTGAATGTTCCCCGCGGCTAGCAGGTATAATTAGAGCACGTATTTAAATTCAAGTACTTTTAAGTTCACCGCGGCAGGGGATTGCGCGGAACGCGCGCTGGTCGACAATAGTGAGCTTTTAATAATAAGCAAAGAGGGTTTTGGGCGAAGTACGTCAACCGGAAGTGGCATCAACCGGAACCGGACGGTGTGGTTTTGTCCAAATTCTTGGACAGATCGTCTCTATAATAGTAAAGACACTTAGAAATACAATTTTGGTAGTGATAAGGGACGGACCTTTAGAAAAGTTATGGGGGGGGAAGGGGATCGGAATTTTCGAGCCGCAGGAATTTTTTTCGTTATCAAATTCCTTGTATGAATCATTTTTAGGCCATAGCATGAATATTTTTTAGGATTAATTGGCGTGCATGAATTTTTTTTTTCATTTAATTTTCCCTTGCGCGAATATTTTTTTTTGACTTCGCCCGCCCTCCCCCCTGAGTTTTTTATGGTCTGTCCCTAAGGTGCTTTAAAATTTAAAAGACCTCACTTCCGGTTGACGTGCGTCGCTCAAAAACGCCTTTGTAATGAGCTCCCTGCCAGCGCTTGCGTGGGGTCCAAACCGTAATAGCCCGCGTCGCGGACGTATTTTAAACCCGGCTAGTTAGTAAACGGCTGCGAAGCAGCGCCAAGATCCTTCTTCTGGTCCGGCTCCTACCCGACTCAACGAATTACCTGGAGTGCGTTTGGAATTTTCTTCCAAGTTGATGTGGCAAATTGACGATGTCGTTTTATAACAGACTCGACCAATCATGGCGCGTACTCAAGCATGGCGCATAGATGGGGGTCCAGAACAAGGATTTTGGCGGTGCTTCGTAGACGGGTTTAACCTGAGTTTAGTTTCGTCTGTGACGCAGGCTATAACCGTAACAGAGAAACAAAATACTGCCATAAAGATCTCTGTAAAATCCCTTTTCCCTCCATTTAACATCGTAAGATTTGAAGACCGATGGGATATCCAAAAGCCCTCACCTGCTGAGTACTTCGGGCACTGATTGACAGGGAAACAAATGCTTTGCTTTGTTTTCGTTAATGCATCGTAGTCAAGCATGGCGCATAGATGGGGGTCCAGAACAAGGATTTTGGCGGTGCTTCGTAGACGGGTTTAACCTGAGTTTAGTTTCGTCTGTGACGCAGGCTATAACCGTAACAGAGAAACAAAATACTGCCATAAAGATCTCTGTAAAATCCCTTTTCCCTCCATTTAACATCGTAAGATTTGAAGACCGATGGGATATCCAAAAGCCCTCACCTGCTGAGTACTTCGGGCACTGATTGACAGGGAAACAAATGCTTTGCTTTGTTTTCGTTAATGCATCGGTTAATTATCGTAAAGCCTCTATCGAGGCCTCTTTTCTTGTAATACTCCTTTTTAAAAAAACAGTGTTATGAACTTCCCTTCCTTGCCGTCTTTACTGTTACAATCGGTAAAGGGTCATTTTCGAGTTGCCTATAGCCTTTATTCAAGCTAGGCTAAGTGCGAAGACTGAGTATTTACCGTGTGGCACGAAACTTTTGCGGTTTCTAATTTTTGCGATTTTTGCGATTTTTCTAGCGATCCGCAAAAATAAGTTGCCGCAAATAAAACTTACCGCATACATTTTTCCCGCAAAAAATTACTCCAGAGTAAATATTCTTTCTAATTTGTTACACAAAAAACAGCACTAAGAAATCGTGTCCGTTCGATTACAACTTGTTTCTTTCGTTCAGAAACAAAACGGTATACAATGCAATGAAATACTGGTTTTACATAGGTTACGCACACCGTAGTATTCTTTGAAAATATATGTATTTTTATTTCACGTACTCAATAAAAACGAAAATATTATCAGTGCTGGGTACTGGGTACTTTCTGAAAATCTTAAAAATTAATTCCCAGCAAGAAAAACAAATCTATCCTAATCGTAAAAAATTAATTCCCGCAAAGCACAAAAAATTGCCAATCCGCGAAAAAAAAAAATTTCGTGCCACACGGTAAATCATTTTCTCTTAATTATTATCAATGCTGCGGTATTGTAGTCTACTAAACAGCCGTTTTTAGTGTCGTCACGCGGCTCTTCTCCCAACGACACTAAAAACGGCTGTGTAGCAGACTAGCTGTATTGAGGCAAGCTAACTTTTTGAGCTAGCATCGCTTGCGATATGTGGGTCACGTGCAACGAATAGAGAAAAAAGGGCGTAATGTTATATGGCGAGCCAGCCATTTTACGGAGGCACACACAGACACCAGCTAGGAACTGCACACCACCGTGTGCCTGGCGCCATGCTGTTGAGAACGCTCATCATGCATGAGTGGCAAGAAAAAGCGGAACCAACAATTGGATGACAGGAGACAATGTACAGAAGTGTACAAAAATTTAGCAGACCAAATCGTCCAATCCACTGTCCAAACGTGTTTGTAAGACCTGTGAAAGAGAGTGTTGCGCTGAGCCACTTCTAAAATTGCAATCAACATTGCCTAGCTGATTTTGGCCAGATAGACGCGTGCCTACCATAGCTTCTGTTTCAAAAGGAGCCGCTAACTGTGAATTCTTTAAAAGTAAAGGTTTTGGTTTAATTCGCAAATGGCTTATTACAGTCAGCTCTCTCTGTAGCGGACACTTCAGAGACCTGATGTCCTCATTAGCGAGAGCTGAGTGCGTAGTGGAGTTTATTTCAGTCAAAAATATCTGTAATATGTTTTATCCTGGGATTTAGTTGCTGTCCGTATTATCGGGGTGTCTGCAAGGCGGGAGTTGACTGTACTTTGACAAAAGACTGACGCCAGACTGCACCTCTGGAGTTAACAGTACCTCAAGTGGTTCTTCTTCTTCCTTCGCGATTAGCAGTACCTTTAACTTGGCTAATTAAAAGCCTTTTCTACTTAGCCTCTCTCCACTGATTTCCGCCTTTCGCCGTCAAGCATAGTTTAAACAACCGCCCCCCCACCCCCCACCTCCTCCTCCTCCGCTCGTAGATGGGGGAGTATATGACCGTATATGGTATCTTGTTCTTGTTCTTGCAGATTCCAGATACCAAAGGGAAAATCTTGGACTCAAAGGAAGGAGACGGTTTCCTAGGAAACAATGGTCAAGGGAAACATTGCTCGGAACAATTGACGGGGAAGTTAAGGACAGTTTAGTTGACTTGAATGGATCGCTTTCTGTAATTAGAGTTAGGCCTTCCTATGCGTAACGATAACCTCAATTTTATGTATTTATGTACACAGCTAAAACTGTAAAAAATTCGAGTAAAACCAACTTGATTGGAGGGGCATGTCATATTAATGATTCCTAAATGAATCTTAGGGAAAATCGTTCAATAAAATGCACGAAAGCTAGTGTACAAACGGTGTTGTTAGAGTCAGTTTTTCCTGAGTATCCATCTTAAGTGCCCTAAAGTAAGAGAAAGTCTGAAAGAAATGAAAGCAAGAAAGTGGGAGAAATTGGAGACTACAAAGTCGCCTCTTGATAAAGACATGGAGCCCTCGTTTCTAGTTAGATCATTCTATTTAAGCTCATTCTCTCTTGTTTTTCCCCAATTCAAGTTATGGGAGTCATCTTATGGGAGTCATGTCATGTCTAAAAAAAAAAAAAAAAGAAAGAAAAATTATGCCCTTGTCCTGTCAAACATTATGCATTCGTACAGACGTGATTGGTGTGGAGTGGTCTGAAATGGTAATTAAAAGTAGACACACCTAGCTTAAAGATGCGTGCATGTGAGTATCACTTTTTTTCTTCTTTAAGAGTGAAAAATTCACATGTGAAAACGACTCTTTGCTACGACAACTTGACAGAATAAGTAACAGTCTCGCAAAAGTGTATAAAAAATATTCTATATAAAACAATCTTTCATCAAATAGAATAAACATAATAAAAATAGCCCATTCCAAGTTCCCCCGGGCCTCTGCGTCAAATCTAGGTTAAGAACTCAGCCATTGATATGGAAATGATTTTTTCATTGTCAGTCAAATAAAACTCATTTACACAAGAAAGATTGTGCACTTGGCCTCGTTTTGAAAGTGAGGGTATTTGGAACTCAGAAGTGGCCTCTTAACATTCGCCACTTTAGATACAAGAAGGAAACTAGGCCAAGTTAACTTTCGCAAAGACTTCTGAGACTGTTACTGGGGACAGGAGAAAAGAAAAAATGGACTAGTAACGATCCCAGAGGTCTTTGCGAAATTTAACTGGGTCTAGTTTCTTTCAAGTTTTTAAAGTGGCGAATGGTCAGGGATTTTCACTGGTAACGGTAAACCGCTTACCATTCAAAACCCAAACACGTTCAGGGAATCGAGTTTCACCAAAATGGTGCTTACGGTCTATGAATTTGTTCAAAACATTTTCTCGCGTGATAATTTTGAACGTTTTTGTAATTCGGCTAGTATAAGTTCAATTGACTTGACCTTGCATGCAGCTCAATAAGTTCAAAAATAACTTTCTGCAACATAAAAGAGTGCGCGCCTAGTTTGGGTCCCAGGCTATCACTCTTTTCCGAAGTGAGCTATTCATCACGAGCTCAACAAAGATCTTACTCGATTTATGCAGAGTCTTTCAACCTCGTCCCCAGGGCTTTTCCGTTCTCAAGCACACCAACTGATCGAGCAAATGAAAGAAAGGCTCTAATCAGGATGTTGTAAGTGTGGTGATTATAAAACGTTGGACAGACCGAAGGATTGGTCACAGTTAATGTTTACGTTGGCAGGCCGTACAAAAACATGGACTTTTTAAATTTTTCTTCCCATGGTTTTCCAGATTGGTTTCCACCGCTGTATATTTGCTCTTCTGATTAATTTAGATAGGTTTGCATTGAAGAGAAAAAATCAAGTCAACTACAACGCTTTTGACTTTATTATTACCATTATTTGAATTCAGTCGTTGTTCTTTTCTGCGGTGCCATAGCCCAAAAAAGAGCTTTCATGGATTTTTTTTTTCATTCTTATGTTTGATATAAGTTTCTATAAATATCTCCCAAAGATTTCTCGCAATTTTCTGACATTGCCGCTTTTTGCACAATGCGTTTTTGAAAGTTCATCCTCTGATCAATTGATAAACACATGCATCCAATTATTCTTGGAAGTTTATTATGATGTTTTGCGTGTAATTTTACAATTTTACGAAACTCTGAAGCTCTCATCTTCTTTTCTTTGCTCTTGGTTTACTTTCCAAAAACCAGCCAAGAAGCGTCTGAAAATTGTAATAATGCAGATCTAACATTTTTTGATGTTCCCAGGCCATTCCACTAAAACTTCCTCTCCTTGGACAAAGAGCTCCAAAGGTTTTTATTAAGGTTTGCTTTGTTTCTCATGACCGTTGCCTCCTTTGATGACCATCCTTGAAATCAGTTTACACATTGAACTCAATTTTTTTCCATGTTATTTTCTGGCATGCACTAAAACCAGGAACAGCAGAACAGAGGAACCCCAGAACATACTGGAACACTGGAAAATTTAAACAAAATTATAATAACTAGTAATAACCGAAGAGTACGGATTGTACTGGAACACTGGAAAATTAAAACAAAATTACATAATAATAACTAGTAAAAACCGAAGGTTACGGATTGTGCGCGACAACAATCAAAAGTTAAATCGCTTCTGCCCCACGCTGTGCTGTGTTTTCTCTAAGTTTCATGAGATATAGATGGTCAAAACGCGCGCGATCAGATTACATGCTTTCCTAGCTGCATGTGTACATGTCGTACATGCGTAATAGCAACCTGGAGATTACGATTGCAGGATCCGCCTCTTGTGGCTCACAATAGTTACAAATCGATAAAACTATTTTAAAAAGCTCGGAAATTCAATTGGCGTGTAGTTTTCACTCTTTTGGCGTCAGCTCAGCATTAGATTCCATCCAGCAAAAACCAAATTTCCCTCTTACTCACACCTTCCATCTTCTTCTCTTCTCGCGAGTGGTGACCCTTAGGCGACCAATAACTAGAATCTCTCCACTGGAGATTCGGGACACCGAAGCGTAATCAGATTAATGTGTAACAAGGACACTTCGGAGAACTAAAATCATTAAGCTAAGGATGCATTTCAGTTAAAATGTATTCGAATTTCAGCTTCCCTGTAATTCAGAAGGGGAAGAAATGTTACAGTCATTTAGAGTTGCATTACGCCTTGATATAGTCACGTGACTATATCATGTGTCTTTGTTGAACTCCAACTTTTTTTTAGAACTTGACTCGAGATTCGTCGAGATAGTTTTTGGCTTTAATTGTTACTGTTTTGGAATAGAATCAACATGTACCGTTACAACTTCCACTCCGTTGCCACTAAAAACCAGTCATCAGAGGTTCAACAGACTTGAGTAGACTTGAAACCACCAAGTCGTGCTTAAGGTATTAGATCTGCTATAAACCATTTCATTTGAAAAAAACTTGAAGAATTTTGCAAATTAGAAATTACACAGTTCCATCAAACAAGAGCTGAGCTTTCAGAAAATTGATATTTGAGGTGTCAATTTTCACAACTAAGGTGTGATTTCTGATTTATATCGCAGGCTCAAAAATTCAATAATTCCATAATTCTGGCTTTCTAACGATAGCTAGGAATTAAAAAAAATATTGGAAGTTGCTTATATTTAGATTGTTCATTTGTCTTTAAATTCCAGGTAGTAGCCAGTAAATTTTCCCTGAGATATAGAGGTGGAATTTTTTTGTGACGCCCTGTGACTTCAGGCCGCCAAAAAAGTTCCAAAATATTCCTGGAATTACCGGGAATTTAACGCATTTTCATTATGTGAATAAACCTTACAAGTTTCAGCGCGGTATTATTAATCTTCATCTTTTTACATCAAGTTGTTTTCAGTGCGGTCCAACGTAGCCGCAAAATTGCCTTTAATTCGCGCTGCGCTGTTTTGTTCGTCGCCATCTTGAATTCTTACTAGTAAACCGCTGTTCTTACAAAATTGTTATGTTTGTTACTGAACCCTTAGAGCGTTTTCCTCCGTTTTCACATGACGTCACGGCGGCCACATTGGTGTTCCAAAACAATGAAACGGCGGCCATGTCGGTGTGCCAAAAAAATCCTTTGGGAGTTGAACTCTTTTCTTATGTAAATGCTTTCTTTTGTCCCAACACAGGCAGCCCAAGCGCACTATTTGTGGGTTCGGGCTTCAAAGGTCATTTGGTCGGTATATACTAGAATTATTAGTGTATTATCTGATGCCAAATAAATGCAAAAAGTCTTAAAGATAT